GGCGAGAAGTAACGCGGCCTGGCTGGTGCGAGGGAGGAGCGGGCCGCGCTCGGTGGCACGCAGGGCAGAAGAGCCGGGAGAGCAGCGTGGTTCTGGGCTGGCTGCGGCAGTGAGAAGGAGCAAGCCCGTAATTGTACCGTGGGAGGTTACTCTGAACGGGGGCCTTCGGATCACCTCCCACGTGAACTCGTACGCACTCCATACACAAGAACACGTGAAGAACTATTGTACAATGTTTTCGAGAGTTTGTATTTTAGCATAGTCTGAATTTATATTGAACCTGCCAACTGTAAAGTTATGTGGCTTACTTGTATTCATACACTATTTTGGGATTCAGAATCCATGTGGCCTGGCATTAACAGCATAATTAATAGCATTTCTTTGCTGAAGAATAGCATCATTTCAATGTTTCAAGTCTTCAGGGTTTCCCGGACCCGCTAAAAGTGCAATACTTTTAATTCAAAAGTAATAAATTATGTAATAAATGTAATGAATTACATTTGCCATCTGTACAAGGTTGCAGGATAACAGGCTTCAAAAGTATGATGATTGTTAGAATCACAAAAGAGTGTCTTTGGTTCAAGATCACTTCGTATTGGTTATGGGGCCTTGGTCGCCTGTCTCTTTTGAGAGAGAAGGGAAATACTCATCTGTCAGGTCTGGTAGACGTTGAGAAGAAAAAGCATCTGCTGAAATGGATCTGTGAAAATAAGCAATGTTCTTGATAAATGAGAAATTAATGCAACATGTCTATACAATTCAGCTGTGGCTGTATAGTTTACCAGATGAACATTATCCCTGCCTCTGTTGTTAGAGTATTGTTAACACTCTGTCTTTGCAAAACCATCCATGGGAAGAGGGTAGAAAAGGGTGAATAATCAGCAACGCGTAGGTCCTGTACCAATGAGTAAAAGCACCTCGCTGCTTACAGTAGGGTATGGTAATAATGTATTATATTAAGGTGCTGTTTTTACAAGTGGCTTCAAATATGGGTGACAAACTGTACAAACATTTATAATATTGCTGTCATAACACCCTACTAACGCCACGTGTTGGCACCCTTTAGCATTTTAATGCTTCACAGGCAACAGGGAAATACTGCAGAGTATTATTTGTTGTGATAAATTCAGTAACAATCTCTGATGGTTTACCTATTAATCCATTCATTCCCAACAACAACTTAAAAAGAAATGCAACCTACGTCAATTACAGCATCATACTACAGGATTTCACTTGCTTTCTCAATTGAAAATAGCAGTATCATTGCCAAGTGTCACTTTGAAGCCAAAAGCATTTCACATGTCCCATCATCTCATGAGTTTAACGAGAATTTAGGACGTCTGGTGTTAATGGTTAGACTGCTCACTTGAAGAGGGTATTGAACACAGGAACCTGCTTTCTTTAATTCACGTTGTGTGTACGGTTCCTGTGCAGCCACAGGATTGAGCAACCAGACAGCAAAGGCAGCAGAACAGCTTTGATGTAGGTAAGCGATCTTGCAGAACGCCAGCTGGAACAGAGTCCGCTGCACCTGCAGCAGCCTCTCTGGTTTACAAACACATTTTGTTTCCTGTCCTAAACAAATGGGGATAAAAAAAAAAAAAAAAAACCACCATCCTTTGGCTTTGTGCCGTCTCTTGTGGATTGCTTCTTACATGCTTTGGCCACCTAGGTTTGGAAGCTGAGAGAGGTGACTGTGACAGCACTTTAAATTCACTGGCAGTTACCAGTCAACACTGAGTTCCAGTGTGATATGTTGGCACAAAAGCCTGAGGCAAGACTAAGCAGGAGTGATGCTACCTTTCCTTGCAGTATGGCAAGACAGTTACTCAAGTTCTGTTAGTTTATAATCCATCTGACTAGTCACAGGAGTACTAATGGACAGGATTTCAACAACAAAACAATGTTTCTAGTAGCACAGTGCTTTGTAACAGTAGGCAAAGATTTGATTTGCTACTGACATTGGAGAAAAAGTCCCATCCAAATGATTAAATCTACATCCTATCTCTAAGATGTCATTATCAATGGACTTCTGGCCAACGACTGGCCAAGTCTAATGCTTGTAAGTGCAGGAAGTTTGAGAAGTTCATTTCTTAAAAGGGGTACAGCTGCGGACTCTGAAATTCTACTTCCCACCAAGTGGAGAGCTCTCATCCCAATTCCTCAATAATTTCTTAGATCCAGCACCTCTGTCTTTGTGTCAGCTCCTGTTTCTTGATCTATGAGTATTTTGACATTTTCCAGGGAAAAAGAAATGCAAGCCTGAGTGACTCGAGATGAGAAATGGCTAAGCAGCCCAATGAAGACTGAGTTTCCATGAGTCTTCGCATTGCTAATCTGGCCACGTGCCACATTTAGTGAGATAAAGAATTGTGGTCTAAGAAGAGTTCAGTGCCTGTGTCCCTAACTCTAGTTTTCCTAGACACTTCATTTTAGTTGAAATTCACAGGATGTTTTTCCATGGGGAAGCCGTAAAGCTTTCTGACATACAATAAGATTTATAGTCAGAGGTATTATCTACCTCAGGGTATTTTTCAATTTTAATATCATACTAGCTTGTAATGCCATTTGTGTTCATTTGACAGTTTTGCAACCAGGAAAACACTTTGCTTTCTGCTTAGCAAATGAGTGACCACTGATGAGGGGGCATTTAGACTCATAGAACGTTTTGGGTTGGAAGGGACCCCTAGAGGTCATCTAGTCCAACCCCCCTGCAGTGAGCAGGGACACCATTAACTAGATCAGGTTGCTCAGAGCCCCGTCCAACCTGGTCTTGAATGTTTCCAGGGATGGGGCCTCCACCACCTCTCTGGACAACCCGTTCCAGTGTTTCACCACCCTCATTGTAAAGAATTTCTTCCTTATATCCAGTCTAAACCTACCCTGTTTTAGTTTAAAACCATTACCCCTTGTCCTGTCACAACTGGCCCTGCTAAAATGATTGTCTCCATCTTTCCTATAGGCCCCCTTTAAGTACTGAAAGGCCGCAATCAGGTCTCCCCGCAGCCTTCTCTTCTCCAGGCTGAACAAGCCCAACTCTCTCAGCCTGTCCTCATAGGAGAGGAGCTCCAGCCTTCGGATCATTTTAGGTTCAAAAGGAGTTCTAAGACTTTTATAAGACCAAAACTCAAGTGGTGGTACAAGTTGTATTGGCTTTGGTGGAATTGCATCCCAGCTGTGAACCTGACTTCAGCTTCCCACAAGAATAAAACAAATCTTTTCAATTAATTCACAGGTACAAGTACTGACTAATTACTGTTATGGCTAACGCTTGTTAGTGGCTTTCTGGTGAGTATTGAGCTGCTTTTTCTGTATGAAGCTTAGCTCTCAATGCTGGATAATAACACCCGCATGCAGGACCAACCCAGCATCATTATAACCTGAAAACAACAACACTGTTGTTAGGATGATTCACAAAGCATTAAGCATGTCTATACAGCTGCAGAAGTAGAGGCCAGAATCTGAAGCTAAGGCATACCAAATAATAACCAATAACCAATTGCATTATGTCTGATTTACTTTCTCAAGGGAGTGTGTATCTGAGCCTTAATTTTCTTTCTCCAAATGCTGTACTTTTGGTGTAAGGATCTGTTATTTCACATGTTCTTAAAGTAAGAATAACTATATAAAGAAGGTGCAACTTGTATTCACTCCAGTTCCCACCAGCATTTGGCAGGTTTTCGAACAAAGATGATGAAAGTTACTAACTGGGATGCAAATTACTTAAAGAGACCTACCAAGTATCAGCAATAACGATCACAAAGTCTGCTCAGCCGAGCTCTACTGCTTGCAGTCTGCAAGCTGGTTTGTTCAAGATGAGCCCAGACAAGTCTTGCAGCAGTCTAAGCAGGTAAGACATGAAGACGCAGCCTCAGAAGTCCCTGTGGAGCAAATGTATGTAAAATGGGATATGCAGACCGTTAGTGCCAGAAACGCTACTTTGAACCCATAGGGAAGAATAATGCACACTGCTATTTCTTTCCTGCAAGAGAAGGAAGAGGTATTTTTGGGGCGAGGCACCTCAAGCCAGGAGCTGCTACCTCTGCTGCTTGCGACAGGAAGGAGTGGGAGTGGTGGCATGCTTCCTCACCCTGTGCGGTCAAGGCAGCTGCAGCTGCACCATGGTGCTGCTTGGGGCAAACATTCAGAAACGCAGCTCTGTTTCTGTAGTGCAGTACCTCAGCAAGCTCCCGTTC